CTCTCAAACCCCAACCCTTCTGGGAGCCTTTCTGACTAGTGGGCCTCATTGCAACCCACATATATATATATATACACACATACTTATTTATTTATCTGTTTTTTATATTTATGCATGTTTGTGTTTTAGGTATTTGCTTACGAATATAACGTTATCATGCATTACCAGTGTTCGCCTTCATGATATCCCCGGGAGTTGCCTGAAACCCTAATCCTAAACCCTCCATAAACCCTAAACCCTGAGCCCGCAGCCCTAAGCCCCAAACCCTAAACCCTAACCCTAACCCCGGGAGTAACCCTAAAACCCTAATCTTAAACCCTAAACCCTGAAACCTGAAACCTAAACCCTAAACCCTAAACCCTAAACCCTAAACCCTAAACCCTAAACCCTAAACGCCAAAATTAACCCTGAAACCCTAATCTTGCACGCCCGCCTCTGCTCGTGGGCTCCAAGAGTAGTCATTGGGAAAGCGGGGCGGAGCTCCCGCGCAGGAGCCAGGACCTCCCTCGTGGTCCAATGTCGGGGCGTAGGGGTTTAGGGTTTAGGGTTTGGGGTTTAGGGTTTAGGGTTTAGGGGTTTGGGGTTGGGGGTTTAGGGTTTGGGGTTTTGGGTTTGTGGTTTGGGGCTTAGGCTAAAGGGTTAAGGTCAAGGGTTTGGGGTTTAGGGTCAACTTGATTGGTTTTGGGGCTTAGGATTTTGGGGTGTTGGAGGTTTTTCTGTGGTAGATGTTGAGGGTTTTTGGTTTTTAGGAATTAGGGGTTTTGGGCATACAAGAGATGGCTGCGATTAAAACCCTAAAACCTAAACCCTAAACCCTAAACCCCTAAACTTGTGGTTTCCATTTTTTGGGGGGAGCGGCGATGCAACCTTAAACCCTAAACCCGGTTCAGCCGAGGTTCTTGGATTGCATCCGTGGCATATGAGTCGTCCAGGGTATGGCTGAGCTTACAGCAGTTTAGAGCCCAGAGCCTCGGAGGTTTCATAATATATATATATATATATACACACATAATATTGTACATATATGTATGTATTATATATATATATATATGTTTATATATTCATATATATATATATGTATACATATATATATATATATATATATATGTATTATGTGGAGTTGCGGGCTCAGGGCTTAGGGTAAGAGTCAGCCGATGGGGTAGGGGCCATGTTCAGTCAAGTGAAAGTCACAGCTCCAAGGGCTCAACACTTGGGCAGCCGTCTGCCTCTATTTGGCTTTATCGACGTTCCCAGCATGCTACACCCTAATCACTGTTCTGACGATTGTGATTCCTTGCTTAGCATGTGTTTCCTAGGAGCCAGGGAGGCTCGTAAATCATCGGACTCACTGCATTCCGGGACCTTGTCAAGGGCCCAAAATTTTGGAGTCTACTACACTCGAAGATACGCTGTGATGAGGCCTGGTGCTAGACAGGTTTTTCTCCTTTTTAGGGAAAGGAGGAGGAGGTCCAGGGCTATTATTGGCGTTCCCAAAAATTCAAGATTTTTGATTCCGGTGTGGACGCCTTACTGTAGGGCTCCAAGTATACAAATAGCATCTACTTTGGGGATTACTCTAGGGCTCCAAGTATACACATAGCATCTACTTTGGGGATCAGCGTCTTGACTCGGACTTGTAGCCCCGATGCTGACGGCGCGTGGGGTTCAACTGACGGCGTCCTCGGAGCCTAATGTAGGGGCCTTAGTAATTAGAACAGGGTTTTTTGGGGGGCTCCCTGTGGTATTCATACTATAATATACCCCCAAACCCTATTCTAACAAGTAAGGCCCCTGCATGACATCGAACCCCAAGAAACCCAACGCACTAAACCGTGCACCCAGACCCCAGGAAGAGTCTTAGCTGCTTAGCTGCTGACTTCTTGGGCTCTCAAGCAATATAGAAGCCTTCCTTCCGAGCTAGAAATCTAGAAAAAGATACGGTTGATGATCTAAAGCCTGCATCACCCATAGTCAATAAGGAATATACCATAACTCCTATAGGTTAGGGTCCTTAAGGTAATGCAGGATTTATATCATCAACAGTAGGACAGGGTTTGGGGGGTACTTTATACTACCCTAAGGCTCATGGACCCCCATAGTGAAAGCCCAAACCTTAGCCTCCAAAGCCCAAACCTTCCCCTAGAAAGCCCATAACAGCAATAAGAGCCTTAGGGTATTGAATCCCTAAACCCTAAACCCTAAACACTATATACCCTACTTCCTAAACCCTATACCCTAAATAAGAGCCTTAGGGTCGAATTATAGGAGAAACCTGAAGGCATGGTCTGGGTCAATAGGGCTTGTAGGGCTTGTAGGCTTTAGGGTTTAGGGTTTAGGGTTTGGGGTTTGGGGTTTTGGGTTCAGGGTTTGGGGTTTAGGGTTTAGGGTTTAGCACCACCCGTCATCCTGGATGTTGGATGTGCAGGACGATGAGTTGGATGAGCCAGTCTCTTTGCTCCAACGGTGAGTGTTTCCCCCCACACACAGTCTAGAGAAAGTTTAGAGGTTTCCCAACTCTCTTCCATTCTACTCCTGTAACCCCAATCTCAAGACCCCATGTCAGCTTCATTGTTTAGTTGAGTATTCAAGTGATTCAACGACGAAATGTTTAGTTAGTAGTAGACAAGTTGATCCGTCGCTTAACTAACAGATTTAGCTAATTAGCTGGCTATCTTCTCAGTTAACTTAGTTAACAGTTGATCACTGGAGTATGTGATTAACGGCCTGATACCCGAAGCCCTAAACCCTAAACCCTAAACCCTAAACAGTAAACATAGTTTGAGGCTGCCGCAACGGGGTTCAGGGTTCGTGGTGTCGTGGTTTTGGTGTGTGGCGGTGCAGAGCTACGGTTTGGTGGTTACGGTCAGGGTTTCGGGTTTCTTACACTTAGGGTTCAGGGTTTGAGGTTTGGGTTTAGGGTTGGGTTTAGGGTTCAGGGTTTGGGGTTTGGGTTTAGGGTTTGGGTTTGGGGTTTGGGTTTAGGGTTTGGTTTTGGGGTTTAGCGTGATTGTTCGTCGGGATATAGAGGCTTCCAGGGGTTCCGACGCACGCAACGCACCCCGACAACCAAGAGCTTTGCGGGTTCAGTAACGTTTGAAGGATGCTTGTGCTGCGATGTAGGGCTTTCAACCTTTGTTTGGGTCTCTATTTAAGTTGGTTGTACACCCGGACCGTATAAATATAATATAGTTAATCCTAAGGCCCCTACATTACAATCTAAACTCCCTAAATCCACGACTGTTGTACCGAAAACCCTACACCCTAAACCTAAACTCCCTAAATCCACTACACCATGCACTAAACCAAGGCTGGCTTTGCCCGGCCCAGGCCATAGCCGACCAGCCACTCGGATTGTTTGCTTCAGTCTGCCCGGAGATGTTGGGTTTAGGGCTTCGGGTTCACGATAGTTTACGAAAGCCCTAAACCCTAGACCCTAAACTGTTGCGATTTAGGAGTTTAGTTCTTGGGCCTTGTAAAGGTTGCGGGTTGAAGAGTTTAGGGTTTAGGAGTTTAGGGTTTGGGCCTTTAGGCTTTAGGGTTTGGGTAGGATGTGAAAACGACTTGAAAACGGAGAATTCTCTTCACTAAACTTCCTTGTCGGATCCCTAACTAACAAAAGGAGGCACTCTTTTGAGGAACCACAGAAGGGGCTGCAAAGGAATGCCTGTACCAGTCATTGTTGCTGCCAGGTTACAGCAGCTTTCAGCTGGTTTAGCTCTTCGGTGGATTTATGGCGGGGGGTGGCAATGTCTCACGGTATGAAGCAGCCCTTGAACCCCAAACTCTCAAGCTACAACTGAACGACCTTACAGCCCACAGTTTAAAGCCCCCCCACCTCCCTCAACTCCTCCTTAGAAAATCACCTTTTGAGCGTTGTGCATAAAGCCTTTACTATGAACCACGTATGCCAGCGCGAACAGGAAGCCGCCGCAGATAAAAGCTTGTAACAACTCCTTGTGGCACTTGCAGGGTCGGGGAACTTAGTAAGTCTACAGTATATACTAAGAGGGTCCAGAAACACTACCATTACGGAATTAGGTCCCCCAAAACCATGATTAGAATGGTCTTTCGGGGTCTAATTCCAAAATGGTAATATCTTTGGACCCTCTGGGATAGTTCTTTGATAGAGCTATAAGACCCATTACCCCAATTAGATCCATTTCCGGGTACTTATAACTTGACTTCTTACATGCTTCGTAAGCCCCCCGACCGCCTAAACACTAAACACTGAACCCTAAACCCTAAACCCTAAACCCTAGACCCTAAACCCTAAACCCTAAACCCCTAAACCCCTAAACCCTAGACCCTAAACCCGAAGTCCTCAACCGCATTGGCGAGGTCCTGGAGCGGCCATGGCCTCTTGCGCACTTTGCGGTGGAGGTGCTTTTGTTGGTAGGGCTTATTAGGGCCGATTCGCCGCAGAGCGGA